CAGGTAGGTATATAAGTATATTTTGTTATTACTAAAATAGGTACCAACTAATAACTATTATTACCCTACCGCCTCATCATTTCACATTGATGTTTAATGGTACTATTGTTTATTATTATAATAGTGCAAAAGGTGATATTTTAAATATTTAATTTAAARGAAATAAATAGATATAGGTATATTTCAAACATTGATAAAGAAGTGTGCTTAAAGTTTACTCAAACTTCTTTACTTATGTAAGTATAAGCWAACGAAAAGTTTAAAAAACATTATTCCTTCCCTTAAATTTGACTAAATCTTTGTCCACGCTTATAAATAATAATGGTAGTTCAAGTGCTAAGTTTACACTGCAGTTATACACCTTCATCATTCATATTAGATTTATTGGCTTTTTTCTACAGATACACCTCATTTATTATTTGAATCCGAAAATGTTATTGAATTATTATGTTACCTTTGATCTTTTGTCAACAATTCTTAATTCGTATCCTGTTATCCACAAAACAGCTGAATTCGGATGAGAAATTCCTGTTTTATATTCCTGATATAATTTAGCAAATGATTCACGGCATATTTTTGAATTTGTGGGTTCCGATACTTCAACGCATCCCAAATACTATAGAAAAATAAAAGGTAAAAATATGTAATCTCAAACTAAACAAATATACAGGTAATTCCTTCTTATTAATAGTATTTAATCTATGGTTATCGTTACTATACTTACGCCAACGTTAAAAGAACAATTTCCATCCAATATGCCGATTTCGTCTTGGGGCCATCGATTAATTGTATTATTTACGACATGTCCAATGCAATTTCTTCTTCTATAATTTGTCATTTTATTTTTACACAATATGTCTAAATCGACAACAATAAGTCGGCAGTGGCAGCTGTATAAACGTTCTACAGTAGGGGGTCAAATTAAAAATATATTATTTTATTTGTTATTGTTATTAATCTGTATGCCATACAAATCAAAACTTAGTCATAWATACGACATGCGACGTCCTAGACGTGGTGTCGTACACACGTCATTATGCGTTCATTATATGATACTTCACGAAAGTCTAATAAAACATTGCCTTCTAATTCATATAAATATTATAATTCAATATCCAATGAAAGTCCTAACCTAACCAAACGCGTTATGTGTTACGTATGGTGATGAGGGTTAGAAATTCCGGTAATTTGTATAATTTTACTATAAAATAGGTAATTATTATTCTTGAATTATCATACTGAATAACATGGTATATGTAATATGTATAACGTAGCAGTGCATATTTTTAAGAGGACGTTATACCTGTGTTGTCTCCGTGTCACAAGTGCATAACATACCAAATTTTACGCTCAGCAGATCACGTTTGGCTCAGTGAATTTAAAATGTAGAGAGAATAAAAATTAAAGGTAACATYATTATCGAGGGCTTCTCATAGGCTTTTATTTTAATTTTATAGCGAGTAATGAGTGAGTATTTTAAAATTGTAAATCGTTTGTTTGTCTTAAAATACTCATAACTCGCTTTGAAATTAAAATATAATAAAAAKCCTAKGAGAAGHCCTMGATWAYRATGTKACCTTTAATTTTTATAAGAGGTCAATTYACTCTAAATGTTAAGCTCACGGAACTAAACGTGATCTACAGAGCGTAAAATTTGGTATGTTATGCACTATTGTAAAAGACGGAGCAACACGTGCGGACATAACGTCCTTATCTTAAGGAATTTTCACTAGGCGACAAAAAACAATATAGGTATATGTGCAAAACAAACTATTAAATTATATACAGTAGAGAATGGTGATGAAAATTATATCATGTTCGTCCATCATCATAACAATTAGAAATAAATGGCAAAATTTTATAAAAGTGGGTCATCATTAATTATTGAAAATAAGAGATAATTTGAAGGAAGATATAATATTTATTCATTACTTAATAATTAATTGTTAACACGGGTAATATAAAAATTCTCCGATTAAAAATTGTTACATAGTTTATTGATTTAAAATGCACTGTTATAATGTTATTAAAGCGTGTGCCATGCAGATAGTAGGTAGGTACTTTATATTATTATGCGATCGTCAAATTTATTTCCACTCTAAAAAAAAAAAAAAAACGAATACCAATTATTTGTTTTGTGTAAAACTGCATATTAGATATTATTATTAAGTATTATAATTTTCTAAAATGCCATTGAACAGGTCGCTAGCCAGCTGGACAATGCCTACGTCAACACCACGGACTAAGATATCTTAGTCCGTGGTCAACACTCATCATTGTATATTAAAGTAGATAATATCAAACTATATTATTGTCATACATATTATACGTAATACCTACATGGCAAAATATATATTATAATATTGTCTGGACACGGGAAAAATATTCGTTTTATTTACTTTTCTTTGGAACGGTATCTTCGTCGACTACAGCGGCGGTCGGCGTCGGGCACTGTGAAGTATACTGAACAACTGAACTAGCGAACTATGGCGACGATCAAATGGCGTATGGCCGTGCGTATTTGCGGAATACGATGATAATAATAATATAACGACTTTAATAAGTTTAAAATAAAATAAATAAACGATAACGTCACGTGCCCGATAATAATATAATATTGGTCATCATCGGTTTTCGGACAAAACCGGAAATACGACTACACAATCATTGGAAACGCCGAGCAGTTGACGACGKTCGCCGAAAATCGAGATGGTGAAAATGAAGAAATAATCGTCCGAACGATTCGGAACTTCATTTGCGGAGAGAAATCACCGCGAGTAACCTGTTTTCCCCTACTCGAGTAACGATGAGTGATGATTCGTGCGATGCAGTGCAGTTACCCAACCTGCGAGCGAGCCCCCCGCGGGGGTAAATGTGTACACATTGCCGGGGAGGCGCAAGCGGGCATCACGAAGTAATATTATTTTTATTTCACGATGCAGGAATAAAATGAAAAAAAATAACAACGACCGGTTTTCGGGTGAGTATCGATARAGATATATTACCAGTTGATTGTATATAATATAGGTACCTATTCTATTGTTTACTATTATTAATTATGTATTTTACACTAATTAATCATTTATTGCCATGATAATTATTCGCATTGATTGATTATTCCATTGTACTATTATTATTATATAATTTAGGTATATTTTATAATATTATTGTCTTCAATGAAAAAGTAGTCATTCCGAATATTGTATAGTTTATTCATAAAGTATACAAAAAAAGGTGATAAWTCTTTTCAATTTTTAGGAGGGGGCACGAGATTTCTCAAAATCTACAAATATATAGAGTGTGGAATAGAAAGGGTTGAGAACCACTGATGACTGGTCTAATATGTAAACCATCAAAAATCACATAGGTCCAAGTATGATTTTAACTGGGTCAGTATGTTATAAAGAATTATTTTAGTTCTTGTTTAAATGGTTTTATGTTTTGTTTATCATCATTAGTACAATAGTACGATTAATAAATAATAATCTGATGAAAACTGAAGAGACTGTGGTCTGTGAGTTGTGACAATGACGCCTGATTTCCAACCATCCAGAGGTGGATTTATGGAGGGCCCGAGGTGCCCCCCCCCCGCCCAATTGGCCTAAGTAAAGGCCCGGTTACACGCAACGACTAATAGTACGTTTTATAGAATACAAAAATTATCACTACATTTTGGACTATTCCTCTCTCCCACAAAAAAAATGTAATCTTGGAACCACCACTGCGACCATCCCTATGGAGTTGCTGGTGTGCGCCATGTGCGTTATTACATCTTGCCATCTTGGACAATATTTTTATGGTCTATTCCGAAATTTAATAACTCACTTCAAAATTAAAATTTATTTTTTATCATTAAAAAAGAATGTTTTTTTCATCATACATATATAATCAAAGTAATACAAATAGGTAATACAATWCGCTAATGAAATCTAAAATAGCAGAGCAGGAGAGGGGAAAACGTCCACAAGCGATACCCCGACTGAAATTTAAATATGAAAAAATCTATGAGGTGCCAAGATAAAATATTCTTACCTTTAAATTCGATGGTATTCCTGGTAGTCCTCTACAAATTCACTACGATGTAGGGTAGGTATACATACTGTATCAGTGTCACTGTTCACCGTGTGTTTTACAGAGTCACTTATGGTCGGACATAAACCGAGTCGGTAATGAACGAATATGCATCTATAATAATAGTCAACGTATGCAGGTACGACCAAAAAATAAATTATTCTAACTCTAAGGTATCACACAGGGCCGTATCTAGGAATTTTCTATGGGGAGGGTCCATTCTTTCATACTGCTTCTCAAAAGAATTTTCTGGTAACCACATACCAATTGGAATTAATTTTTTGTTTTATTATTTAAATTATTTTTATCAATAATCACAATGTACTATAGGCACTTTCAATACGCCTTGGACACTATATTATACTATACATTTACTATAGTATTACATCAAGTATTTATTCAGTTTAAAAAAAAAAAATGATTTAAAAAATAAACATTTTAAATTTTAGAATATACTAGACATTTTTGCATTTACTACCTGGTTAAAGGGGAGGAGGCGTGAACCCCTAAACCCTCCCCGTAGCTACGGCCCTGTTACCACACTACCACGTCCTATCTTCACGATCTACACAACAAAGTAGGTATATGACCTGAGCTTGTTGACGGCCAGCTCCGCAGACAAAGATAATACCTTAATCTCAACACAAATAGAATCGTTAATGGAAAAAAATTAAAATTTTAACAACGATAATTTTCATTTAGTATTTAGGAGAAAGACGAATGGTGTGGGGATAAACACACCACCACTCGGCCATGTGTACGCTAATTCAAAAGAAATCGCTATTAATTATTATAGAAAATCATCACGATGACGTAGTTTTTTAAAAACGAAATGAGCATTTTAAGCAACTTAATAGAAATTTTATTTCATTGTGTTAAATGGGGGGGGAGGGGGATGATACCCGAATTCTATAAATCAATTATACCTAACTTAATCCATATAGGCTATAGCCTATAAGTAAATAAATTCTGTTAACACTGAAAAATAATTGGAAACAGAAATCGCTGGACAACTCGAYTAATYACTAGTGAACACAACAAACATTTTCACCCAACATAAATATTCATGTTAACTTCAWTGAATATAATATAGATAGAGATAGYGCATTCATTMAACCATTCTAATTTTAGCTAAGAAGCATTCACTATGGTAAAAATCTATACACAAATTACAAGGATAAGTAACTCAACAATTTTTTATATTTTCTTCTGTTTTATTTAAAAAGAACTTCCTAAGGTTGTTGATGGTCAGTGACCATTACTCAGGTTAGACAGATATGAATACGTGATTGATATTTGATACTAAGATCTTTGATACATAGTTATGTCTTGTGTGATATTATAAGCTGTGACCGGTGGTTATTACTTATTAGTTATTACGTATAACAATATAACATATACTATTGAGAAACTATGATACCAAATGGTCAAAAAAATATAAATGATAAAATGTTTGAGGTAAGAGACAATTTTTTTTTTTTTGAGGAGTAAAATAATATAGGTACAAAACTATTGGTAATAATTAAATACCATTATACGCTTGACATAAAAACAATCGATACTTTTTATATTTATATATAATTCATACGACAACAATAATTAAGTACAAAGGTTCTTAGGCATCTAAAAATATTGTCTAAGTTTTCTAACTATATGTTTATACCACAAAATATAAACAATAAGATAAAGGTTTTATAAACATGTTTCAATTTGTTTTAACTTTTAAGTACAATACAAAGTAATAGGTAAGTTAATTCTAATTTGGTCATATCGAAGCTATTAGCATATTATTCAGTATCCTAYGAGGACTTACTAATTTTAAATGGTCGGGAAAAATAGAATTTGTATTAATCCGAGTACTTAAAACTAGTAAATTTTTATAGGACACCTTGTACAGATATAATATGATATAATAATAAAATTATAACATAACATTAATTGTTATACTTTTTTTTTAGAGGCCACTAAAATCACAATAATATTGAATAGAATAATTATCTCCTATCCATAAAACTTACATATTTACTATTAGTCGTTTTCATAAAATTTTAGTTGAAAAACGAGAATTATTTTTTAATTGCACTTAAGCCATTTAAAAACAATACTGCAATTTCAATACTTAATATATGTCTAAGATCTTTCGTACACAATAATATTCTTTGTCAAAAACATAAACAACATATTACATCTATATACAATTGTGTAAGTATGTATAACATAAGAATGTTCACTGATATACTTATATATATAYACATAATATAATGATATACACGTGTCCCATAATACAAACACCAATCTTTCCTAAGTGGATAGACCAAATAATAACAACAATAAAAATTAATCGTATACCAATAACATAATAAGGTGCAGCATGATTATTAATTGGAGTATACACTAATTAATAGTTAATAGGTACGACAATTTTGAAAATCGAGTTTCAACCAGGTGTTAAGTAATTAATTTTTTTACAGGTATAGTTGCTCTCGGGCATAACAAATAACCGGTTAGATGTCTAATCCATAAATGATTAATACTATGTGTAATAATGTTTGTTTATAATAATAATAATCTATACATAATAATATTGTTTTAAAAAATAATTTTTAATCATAAGAAAATATAATACAAACTAAAATACTAACAAGTATTATATCTTAATRATGAAAAGTATAAATATTCATCAATATTTATACTACAGTTATTATGAGAGCAATACGGATATTGTTATAATATTATAATGTTACCACAGATATTCGCGTATAGTACATACAATAATAAAAATAATAATAATAATAATAATAATAATATAATAATGATGATAATAATAATAAACATTGTTGTGTATCAATAGAAAAAAATGCAGTCTATTGAATACACGAATATCACAGAACACGCAATCCCTATTCAGTACGCGGCTATAAGCGTTTTTTTTTTCTAATCATAATACATTTTTAGGTTTTTTATGACTGTGGAAGTGTTTGACTTGTCATACTGAAAGCGAAAGTAAAGAAGTATCATATGTATAAAATAATATGTGAARATGAGGGATGTAAATAACTGAAACATTATTATTTAGACAACTGTAAAGACAATAGAAAATACAGTATTGTGCCAATAAAGAAGTAAAATGAATGCAAGGTGAATCATTTTCAATCTAACAGGTATAGAGAAGAATACATATATCAAYATTTTGATCTTAGAAAAATACACATTATATACATTTATGCTTATGGTTATAGATAATCATTAAATAATACTTGGGTTAAAAAAATTGGCAAATATTTAGGACTTGTTTAAAAGAATCTATACTGTTTGTTTACTAATTGAGAGTTGGTCTGTACATTATTAAAATGTCATTCAATAAAATGTTATAATTATATAACCTATTCAATTTGATATTGTGAGTATATAAATATAATTTATTATTAATAGTTTAAAATATTTAATTATTATAACTTTTTGTAACTATAATTAAATATAAGAAATATGTTTGATTTTTATTATTTAATATAACTATTTGATTMAATTAKTTGTTAATGAATAAACCTTCCATAGTAGTGAATTGTTCACCATTAGCTATATGTGTGCGATAAGTTCAAATTCGTTAATAGGTACCCTTACTTAGCTGTCAATATTTATATCAACACAAAATTTAACATTAAATAATATAATATACTAAATATTTTAACGTTAAAAAAATATTGATATGTATAGGTTGCAAATGAACGTATATAAACATTATTTAATAATTTAGTTTAAATTCACTGTGCATAAATATTCAGTTTATGTTTTAAGTTTAGTTACAGTAAAATGTAAAAAAAATAAATAACTAATAGTTAATGCATATTTATTCATATTTATTAATAATYGTGTAACTCTGTACTGAATATATTTTAATTAAGTACTTTTTGAACCTTATAATTATGATGAGTAATTAACTTATTTGCAGATTTTTTTTAGATGATTCTATTTTATGTTTTAAGTTACAGTAAACTATTATTATAAATGCACTTAGTAATACTTARAGGTTATTAAAAAATATAATAAAAAATAAGTTTACTGGTACTGAAAACAAACAATTTTGTTTGATCAATTGAAATTTTGATTTTTTTTTAAAGATAGTACATAGTACACTAGATCAAATAACATCAATATTAAGTTTTGTTAATGTTAATTTTGAACATTAATTGCACAATCATGAATCCAATCCTACATAGTATTATGGTAATCGCATATTCCCTTTCTCAAATTTTTTTTTTACTTTATCTTACTCAATGATGATAATTTTAAGAATTGATCACATTTGAACTTCAAAAGTTTTGACAGTTTTACTTTGGCTATTTGATATTGGGCTACTCAAAAAAGGATTTGTATTTTGTTTTGGGGCAATGTAATTAGGATCAAATGGATTAGCTGAAATATTATTATACGTGCGATAAACATCCTCAGCAGTGTCTAAAGAAAACGCGCGACTATGTGCTGCTAAATGTGGATTTCTTTTAGGTGTGACCTGGGGATCCATTGACTGTAATGTAACTGCTGCCACTTTACCTAACCATTGTTCAGGCCTTGGAAGTGTCGATGGAGGAGTAGCGGGTGGAGTTGGTGGTGTAACTGCCTTGTTGTTTATATTCCATAAGCTGGAACCGGAATCAAAGCCTTCGTCTTGTTGAGGGCTAATACGACTCTCTGGTTTTGGAGTGGAGGGGTTACTTTGGGTTTCTGATGATAATATGGCCTTTTTTGATATACTAGCTAGAAATGCTTCACTTCCAGTGATTGGGCCTTGTTTTGGATTGTTTTCTAAAAAAATATACACATAATATTATGTAATATAATGATAATAAAATAATATGATTAAGATACCGTGATAAGTTTGTTTAATTTCTTGCTAAAGTAATATGGCAAAAATTAGTACAATAAAAATAGGTAATTAATTATTATTAAGGAGCAATTTTCAAAATTAGATCACCGATTTAATAGAGATGTAAGAAACCAACATTTTCAAGTGAATCTCTTGAAATATCTTTTTCAGAATACTAATTAAAAATATTCATCAAAATGTTAGGTATATTAATAAGCTACAGTACCTAATACACAGAATTTAATTTAAAAAATATGTATTAGACGTATGAGTTCAACAAGAATACTGTGACGATTGCAAAAAA